GGTAATTCAGCCCTAGAGGGCTCACCGATCCTACACCCTTTAACTAAAACGGATTGGGGAAGGATTTACACACTGGGAAGTATCTCTCCTACCTTTTTTTTAACTATCTGTTCGTCCTCTGCGAACTTGTGCTCACGGATGTTCGACACGAACTGCCGAGCTTCCTTCTGGAAACCCCTTCCCATTTGGCAGGGTCCTGTCGACCCGTTTGCCAGTCGCTTATCGGTGGGATCCTTTACTGTCTACAAAAATTAACCAATAATTAGCGTGGTATCAGGTCGAAACCTCTGCAAAACCAGTAGATCGAGGGAAGGCAATTCACTCCTCGACCCTGGAAAGCCTCGACCTGCAGTCACGAGATGTCTCCACATTGTGTATGTGGCCTAAGTTGGTACATTAACATTTCGAGCCGGGGTTCCGGCGACTCTGCACAGTTGGAAAAAATGGAAGAACCTCGGTTAGGTTATGTAGTTGTGTTTAGATTTGTTATATGGGAATACAGCGAGGTGCACCTACTAATAATTGTTGGGTATGGTTGTATGAATGATTACCGTTTGTTAAAGGGCGACTTTAGTTGTTAGTATGAAGTTGATGATGGCCTTGTATACTTCCGTGCAGTTCTGCGCTATGAGGGACTCAACCGATATGGGCAACAGTTGGTGTTTAGAGATGATACCAAGTAGAGTATTCGTCGCATCAGCGTTGTTGGGGCACTCAAAAAGTATGTGATTAGGAGTGCCAATGGCTCCACAAGAACATAGGTCTGTCTCAGATAGGCCTACTCTGTGTAAATGAGATGGTGATAGGGAATGCCCAGAACGTATTCTTGAGAGAGCAGACACTTGACTTTTTTTATAGATGCCTAGTTCTGTAAACCATGGAGTGCACTTCATTGTCCTATTAAACAGTTCAAAGTAAAGCCTTCCTTTGGTCTGACTGTCAGAAAGGTATTCTTCTTGCCATTCTACCATTGCCACTGTTTTTATGTACTCAAAGAAGTCAGTATATGGTATTTTCATATTGGTGGTTTGTCCAAGAGAATGACCGACATTTGCGACCTCATCTGCTCTCTCATTGCCTGCGATGCCCTGATGACTAGGAATCCAACACACTACCACATGAGCCACTTCCCTGAGCAGATCTTGGCTCAGTATTCTGATTTTAGTGGCCCAGGGATTCGTTTTAAAGGTAGGATTGTCGTTGGCTATTAATGATAAAGCTGACAGGGAATCAGTGTATATGACAACACTCTTTTTAGCTTCAAAGGTGCTCACGATGCTCAGTGTTCTGTGGATGGCATATAGTTCCGCTGTGCATATCGAACATTCATCCGGGAGATTGCCGCACTCTGTGATGTCCGACCCTGGGAAGTAGATCCCGTAGGAAACCGATCTGGGGCTGGGACGAACCGAGCCATCCGTATACACCTGTAGGTACTCCCTGTATTGCTCAGCATACTCTTGAAAGGCCCGATTATACAACCAAATAGAATTGCTGAAATCCTCTCTGGTTTTAAGAAATTTTGAGGTTGCAATTCCTGAGGCACGAGGTGCAGTGAAGAGTTGTTGAAGAGAGTTGTAGATTTTGGGCATTGTAGACTCTACTTCCCCAAAGCAGGAAGTCAGCAGGGGAGTCCCCTTGCTTCTCCAATATGGTGATCTGTTGTACGAATCTGCCGCTTCTGATACCGCTGGCAGAACCAGAGAGGCCTCCCCCATGGCCATGCTGCGTACGAGGTAACTCTTGGTGAGGAATCTTCTGCGAATGCCCAATGGGAGAACACCAGACTCAGCCTGGAGAACATTGATTGGGGTGGATCTCAGCATACCCATACAGACTCTCAGTGCTTGGTTCTGGATTCTATCCAATACCTTGAGCGTCGATCTGGCACAATGACTATAGATGAAGCACGCGTAGTCGAGCCGGGACAGCACCAAGGATTTGTAGATGGTCAAGAGCGTCAGGGGGTCACTGCCCCAATCTCGTCCCGACACTGCCTTCATTATATTAAGGCCGTGGAAACATGATGAGGAGACCTGTTTAATCTGGGGAATCCACGTCAACCTTCTGTCGAAAACCACTCCCAAAAACCTGTGCTCATCGACCAATTCCAAGATCCTACCTCCAAGTCTTATTTCAGGAGATCTTATGCTCCTCTTTCTCGTGAACATCATGACTCTGGTTTTGGCTGAAACTACTTCCAGGTTCAACCCGCTTAGATAATGCTCGACACTGTTGAGCGCTGCATTCAAGATAGCCTCCAGAGCACCCACCTCAGGCCCCGAACAAAATATGGCAAGGTCGTCTGCGTATGAAAGTAAGCCAGCGTCTTCCGGAATGTGGTTGATGATCTCGTGCAGGTATATGTTAAAGAGAATAGGACTTAACGGGCTGCCCTGCGGGAGGCCTACAAATGACCATCTGGCCGCCAAGTTGTCACCTACTAGTTGTATATGTTTCTCCTTGATAAGCTCGACCAAACAATCCACGGCACTTGCAGGGAGGCCAATTCGATCTAAGACGCTTTGCATGATGTGTGGACAAACGTTATCGAAGGCCGACTTGATATCGATGAAGCAAACTAGCATATGTTGGTTGTTAGCTAATGTGTGCTGAATCTTAGCGAGCAGTGTGCAGATGCTGTCGTTAGTCCCGCGTCCCTTCCTAAAACCACAGAAAGCGGGATTGAGTACGTTGTGTTTTTCTACGAAAAGTTCCAATCTGAGCTTGATCAAGGCTTCCAAGCACTTACGCATGACCGACATTAGAGCTATAGGTCTGTAGCTTGATGCAAGATTTGGAGCAGCCCCTCTCTTGAGGATGGGGACGACCGTGATGTTACGCCATGTAGAAGGGAAGTTTCGGCTGCGATATACTTCTACGAACAGGGCTAACAATTTCCTTTTACCCACAACTGGAAGATTTTTAAGCATACTGTAGGTGATCAGATCCGCCCCAGGCGCCGAGTCCTTTCTTTTATTTATTATTGACGAGAGCTCTGCCATGCCAAAAGGTTCAGTCATTTCCTTCGCTAAGTTTCTGGAAGTTGAGGCTGTGAAGTACTCTTGCGGTCGGACAGTATCCGGTGTGAGTTTGAGCAGAAAGTCCTCCCGCCAATCCATGCTACAGTCCACTGGAGTGTTACTCGTATTTGTGTTGTTGAACGCCCTGATTTTGCTCCACACGTAGGAAGATGTTGATTCCCTGCTGAGAGTCTCGCAGAATGACCGGAAGTTCTGCCTCTTCTTTGCTTTGAGAATTTTTTTAGCCTCAGCGATGGTTTTCTTTGCAGCTATTAGGTGGTTTAGCCTGCCCGTGGTTCTGAATATTTTAAGCGTTCTCTTCCTCTTGGCCACCGCCGCTGAACACTCCTCATCCCACCATGGGCATCTGGTGGCGCATTGTTTAGGTGGAGACGGAACTGGGGAGTTAGCCTTGACAGTCTCGATTACCGCTTCCGTAAATTCCTCCATATTTAAATCTTCGCTGACATTCAGTAGTTGTTCCATATGTTCTCTATATCCTTCCCATCTTGTTCTCTGGGTGTTTAAACATATCCGCTGGCTCCGATTCGAGATTGTGGCGGTACGATTGGAGAGATTGGGCGTGTAGTCACACTGAATAGGATAGTGGTCGCTGCCGTGCGTGTCAATCCAGGTATGCGATAAGGTGTTTAAAGCGACATCCGGAGAGGCGAGCGCCAAGTCCAGGATAGTTGTGTGCGACAATGAGAGATGAGTGGGCTTCATGTCGTTCAGTAGGACTAGGTTGTTGTTGTCTATCGTCGCCATCAGTTCTCTTCCATTCAAATTTTCCCTTGCGTGCCCCCAATACGGGTGATGAGCGTTCAAATCTCCCATGAGAATATAAGGGGAATCAACGGTCGCTAACAGGTTTTCCCAGTTGTCCCTTCTCATGGTTATGTTTGGGGGGATGTAAGCCGCTATGATATGAATTCCGTGGGTCTGGCGATGACGAATTGGGCGTTGGGAGGATGCCGAAATGTTGGAATAAAGAGGGAAGCCTGTATCGAGGCTTTAACCAGGATCGAGACTCCTCCCCTTCCGTCTTGTCTTCTGTTGTGTAGTGACTTGTACTTAGGAATAGAACATCTGCTTCCTGGGCGAAGCCAGGTTTCGTTTAGAAGAACGAAGTCGATTTGGTTGGTATTGCAGATGTGTCTAAGGTCAGTAGCGTTGGAATGTATAGACCGTACGTTCCAACTAACTACTGTTAGTCTCTGATCCATTTTGGTATGCTTTAGGGTCCCTTAACAATCTTATTATTTCCTGGATGGCTGCGGTTATTCTACTATTCGTTCCAAAGCGCCCTTGGCTAGCGCTGAGTGCCAGCTTTTGTAGGAACGCTATCGCTGCGTCGTCTGCTTCTTCGTCGGTGGTGATAGGTGGATCTTCATTCTTTAAAAGGGGTTTTGGTGGTCGGTATTCTAGGTCTGGTGATTTCCTAGTCCTCGGCTTCTTCCTTTTTGGCGAAGGACTTGTTTTCGCATAGCTATGTTCTGATGTCCTGTACTTGTGCGCCGGCACAGATATTATTTTAGTTTTATTGGTTTTAGGGGGAGATACTAAGGTCGAGGCATATGTATTTTTAGTGAACACAGACGGTCTGAGTGGAAGAGGGTCTTCTTGGTAGGTGTTATGTCGCGGAAACTCTTTCTCCCATTCGAAGCTGGGTTGTGTTGGATATAGGTGATCCCTCGCTTCGAAGAAACTGTAGTTATGCCTGACCATGGCCTCTTTAATCTGTTTCTGTTTTAAGTATTCGGGACATCTACGCTCTGATAACCTGACGTTTGCTTCGTTGGTTAGATGCTTGCCCTCGCAGTACGCGCAAGTGGGGTCGTCTTTCGAGGGGCAGGACTCTATTTGGTGGTTTTCCGAGCAAGCTGGACAACGTACTAGTTTAGATTTACAAATCTTTTTCGTGTGTCCGTACCTGAGGCATCCAAAGCATTGGATGACTCTGGGGACATAGGTTTCTGGTCTTCGGAAGTTTAAGTAGATGGACACAGACTCGGGGGGTTGTTTCCCTCTAAATGTTATTATGAGAGAGTTAGTAGGGACATATACTGTCTCGCCTGCTTCGTTGTGGCTTCTCCTATTGATTCGCTCCGCTCTAAGTATTTCCCTACTGTCGCTGCATATCATGTTTTTTTGTATGTCATCCTCAAGGATGGTTCTATCGATATCACGAATTATTCCCTTACAGGATATGATATGAGAGGGAATGTATGCTTTCAATTTGTTGTTGACTAAAAAGTCGGAGGTAAGAAATTCATTTGCGTAGTTTTTAGTTTTGAAGAAAACGGCTACCCTATTTCTTCCTCTACTTTCCACTTTGTTTATTCTATTTTTAATAGATAGAGAAAGCTTGTATCCCAGGGAAATAGAATTAGTAGAGTTTGTAGTAGGATCTGTTGGTTCTACGTTGACTATGAATGGTCCGGAGTCTTGGTCATTAAAAAAATTGATGGTTTCTCGGTTAGAATTTGGATTCTTGTTGACTAGCTCTGTGGAGTCCATGTCGCCGCCTGAATGAGTTTCCCCCATGATGGGGGAAATGGGGAAGCGGATATCCGCTAAGGGAAAGGAGGTGCGCACCTCGCTGAAAGAAAATGTGATGACCACTTACTGCGTGAATCTGCGGTTTTCACTCCTGTAGCTCGACTTCTTCTCTCGCTGCGAAGCTCGACCGTTAGGCTACACGGTCGAATCGCGACTTTAGTTAATAATCGAATCATTAGTTAATAATCAACATTATACAATTGTTTTAACCAATAATGCATACGAAAAAAGCATTTATAATTTCAATGTGTAAAATTATAAAAAAAGATTTATAAGAAAAGTGACGAAAAATCAATAAATATTGTTAAAATAATTAAAAAATGCTAAATTCTTAGTAAATATTATGTCTGTGATCTAATACAAATCTGTAAGAAAAATAATGTTCCACATTCGGAAATATTCACAACTGAAAATGGACAAAACCTATAGTAGAATATGTAATAAAAACCTCATTATTACATATTTTACAATAAGACGACCAAGAGAAAATGTTAATGTTTAGTATTAAATATGTTTTTTCATTATTGTTTTGCATTTATACAGTATTTAAAGAAAAAATTGTGTTATGAGCAAGTATTTAATGGGATACAAATGTATCCAATGATGTTACAAATTAAAGCGTGAGTACTGGAGGGTTCAATATACATTAGTAACCATGAGACTCGATACGAGTGGCATTGGATTGACAGTTAGAATTGAATGTTGTACTGTGTACCAACTTAATAAATGTATATCACTTAATTCGTGGAATTGTTTTGTGTTCATTCAAAAACTCAGACTTTGTAAAGTAATAATACAATATTTAGCGTGGGATGCTGGATGATTCTAATTTCATCTTAAACTAAACTTACAAAAAAAAATCGAAAAACTATACAAGAATTTGAAATAGAAATGTGTAGACATAATGTATTCAAGTGTTATTATCTAATACAAACTTCGATATTGAAATAGTTTATGTGTAAGTGCGCAAGTACATAAGAGACAGAAGCATAGTTGTATCGTTTATGTACAAGACGAAAACTATACAAGACGAGTAAATATTAAGAGCGTACGTTTATTCGTCGTATTAATATGTAAATAATATTAAATATGCATTTGCATAGGGTGGTTGGCTGGCCGTAATACTGAAAAACGGGAGTGGAGGAGGACAACTTCGGCTTTTAAAATTTCCATAATATCGAGAGGGTGGCGGTGGTTGGTGGGCCAGACGATGGACATTTGCACGGAAGTCTGCGCTCGTAAACTGCAGCCGCCCCCCTCGTAACTGAAAACCGCAACTTGCTTTAACCAATCTGCTGTTTTTTTTTATGCACGCGTTTTCTTCGTACCTCTTCCAGCCTCATCCATTCATTCTCTCTCTCCCTCTCTTTCACCATTCAATTACTTTGGGGGGGTGGAAAATGTAATGAGCGAATGAGGGTGTACGGAACGGCGCTGCTCAATTTGCTGATTTTTACCCTCATTGAAGTTATTCAACCAGAAAAAAAAATCAGAAAATAAATTACCGAATATTTCGGCCTTATTAAAATGCGACCATCGTGCGAAACCGAAAATGCTCATTTTTTTTTTACTTAATTTATTTATTTATTATACACCTAAAGCGATTTGTAATGTTCAAAGGGATGTATCAACAAGATCTTTTATTTCCCAAATTATGTAATTTAGATTTTGTAAAGTATTAATAATATATCAATAAAAATATTGATTTTTTATCGTTTATGAGTGTTTTTGTCATGGATTTACTAAAATAAATAGATGAAGTTGTGTCACGTCACGTATTGTTACCCTATGTCATGTTATGTCACTTTTTGTTACATTGGATTAAAAAGTTTAAGTTATTAAATATTATGGATTACTTGATTATTTAATGCTAAATAATCTACAATAACGTATCTCAATATTTCTGATACGCAACCGAACATTATAAAGCATATACTCAACAGCTGCCATTTGACATTCAACATATTTATTTGTATTTTGTCCTCGCTTTGACACAAAGTGACAGCTGTCATTTCACGATTCAACAAATTTGTTTGTACTTATTCTCGTTTTTACACAAAGTGACAGCTCTCATTTCACGATTCAACATATTTGTTTGTACTTGTCCTCGCTTTGACACAAAGTGACAGCTGTCATTTCGCGATCCAATGTGGTTTGAGAAACGCTGATCTACAATATACAGTAACAATTAGAATTAAACTTACGTAGATCATTAGGAGTAAATCATGTTTGTAGAAATAAAGCAAAGAGAATAAGAGGAAATTCTGACAAGCATAATAAAAAAAGTGCCATTGAATGAATTCGCTTTTGAGTGCTATGCACTTTGATCTCATTTTTTACTGTATTTTTTTCACAATGTGTTGAAAAATAAAACGTATATTGCATAGAAATACAAAGGTCATAGAAGCAAATATTAAAAACCAATAAAAATGTGACCGATTCTCTGTGTATTTGACAGGCGAAAAGTGGAAATATCCTAGAAGGATATAATGAAAAAAATGTAACTCTTTGATAAAATTTTCTTTAAACAAATTGACAAAATAAGAGTGAAAGCTTTTGTTTGTGTATTTTTATTTTTGATTATTTATTATTATTAATTAAATTTTATGTTTTTACTTGCGTTATGAGTAAAATCGATTAAATAATGCGTAAATGTTTTACAGTTTTTAATAATTAACAAATATTTGTTAATTTGAATTTTACTGATATTTTAGCAATAAAAAAATATTCAATTTCAAATCATCTAATTTTTATACAAATTAGTTAAATATATATTTTTCTATGTTGTGTAAATTGATGTACAATCTGTTCATCAATGTGAACATTGAGTAAATTTAAGATCGCGGTTGACATTAGGTAGGTAATATTTCTCGGTGGATAGTTACCATTATGATGATTTTTTAATTTGTTGGTTGGATGTCGTCTTGCAGGTTAACTTCAGTAGTATATTGATGCTCTGCGATTCCACTATTTCCTTTGACTGTGAATCTACTGCTATCCTTAATACTTAAGTCATTGTCCATCGACTTGGCTGAAGGTCCATATGTTGAACCTCATTCATTTTACTGTTCATCTGTGATGAACGATGGCCCTATCGCTGCAAGCAACGAGAGGGCTCACAAAGAGCCTGGCTTGACCAGGATTTAAACATGTGACCATGGCTATTAGTCAGCCGTAAATTAGTTAAATATGGATTTGTTAATTAAAAAATGTATCTTTTAAATTATTCAATACATATGAAAAAGTAAATCACTACATAGTTTATAAGTATATTATAGTAACTATATAATAGTAATTTACATACATATAAATTATTGCTATAATTTGGACGCAAATAAATCTAAATTGAATGGTTGTGCAATGAATGATAAGTTTGCGTTCACGGTTAGGGGGATGCGCATTGATATTGGACAAATATTTGTGATTATATCAATAAGATTGGGGCGAGATTCCCTTAATATTTGATCTTACATATTGACCAATAATCTACATTAATCATAGTATTTACTACGAAAATAGTTATTATCAAGAGAATAACTTAAAATACTAATAACATGTTTAGATTAAAAAAATCATTACATTATGTTTGTATATTGTTGTAAATATGGTAGATTCTGAATTCTCAAATGTACACTGACTGACACTTCAGAAATCTGTGAAAAAGTTTAAAATATATAGAATAACCTTTCATTGGACGACAAAACATTCACCTGAGCTCAATTATTATTTTGCTTATATATATTTCATTTGTTTTAAGTATCGTTTTGCAGACCCAGCAGACTGAGAAGTGCACCAGGTGTCAGATAGAGTTCACCAAGATCGAGAGGCCCTGTAGGAATTTCACGATCAATGTCAATGGATAATAGTCAACCAAAAACAAGAGATCGAATTATTCCTACCGTGAGCGGTCAAATAACCGCTTCAAAACAAAACATATATCTTAATTTTTGTTTTGTAATATAATGAGATATTAACTAATTAGATAGTTAACAAAGTATTTTACTTTTGAATTTTTTGTTCATAACTCGAAAGTTGTTTTCACATAAAGTTTGCAAGCTAATTATACAAATAAAAGATAAAACTAAGGTCTATACAAGAAACTTATGCAACTATTTATATAGTTTAGTGAAAAATAAATCAATATATTCGAAATGTTTCAGCGAATATTATTCAATTATGTATGTATTTTTTTTTCGTACAGATTCAGGATTTACATACTTTCAAACCCCCTTTTTTTATTCTAATGTTGAAAAAATACGCGCGGATGGCCCACATGTAACCTGTATACGTAAAGTACTTTTATTGTTATTCAAATTTGCCGGGCTGTAATGAACGTTCGAGAAAGGCGTCCGAACTGTATGCATATATCCGAGCATATGGGGGTGTTCGAAAAAAAAACAGACCCATTGAAACGAATTTATGATTATTTTTCCGTTGATTGACTTTGACGGATTCGCGTTTCAATAAACAAATGCTGTTGCAACCCTAACAACAACCAAACGAAAAATTGAAAATGAATAAAAAAAAGAAAGGTTCACGTCAATCTCCGAGGCTTTAATTTTACGAATTGTGAACACTTTTAATGAATTACTAAAAAAAAAGTTTGGAAAGTTCTAATTTGTATTTAAAAAGCACCTTTCTCTAATATAGTATAATTTAATTTTTGAATTATTTCATTAACATTTCAATATACTAATCTAATAAAATTATTTTATAAAGGTGATATACAAACTTATTGACTTCAAATGATTTACTTTTCAATAAAAAAAATGCTGTTCCTATCTTAACAATAAAAAAACCATTGAAACTAGAGAACTCAGAAGTTCTAAATTTAGTTTATTATATGTTTGGAACCTGAATTATTTGAGTACCCAGATTAATTTCCGAACATATATGTACAAATATTGTCTAATTAAGAATTTTTTGCCAAAATGAAGTAATCATAGTTCTCTCAAATGAAATATACGTGTATTTTTTTCATTTAAGTCCTTAATTTTGGACAAGAAAAGGTAAAGTGAAAACAATTTTCCTATTGCAAATACATAAATA